GATATCCCTGTCAAGGTACTAAAACGAAGACACACGCGTTAAGGCAATATATATTCTAACTCCCCCCATAAGTTAAGCCCCCAATGGCATAGCGATATGTCTGCGGACTTATACTGCTACAAACCGGGTTTCGATAGCCATGGTGGGCAGAGCACAGATAGCCAGTTGTGTAGCTTTGCGCTTTAACTACAAACAAGTATTGTCTTTGTTTATTAAGAGTTACATACATTCCAAACTTTTTTTTTCTTAATATTTACGGTTTCGATTAGTTTACGGACTAATACTTCATTTTTGCTTATAAGTAATGTGAATGAACGGAATGTTTTTCAATAAAGTACCTTTTCATTAAACCCGAAGACCCGGCTAATACTGTAGCCATTGTTATGCAAATTAACAAAATAGGATTTTCGTCTTGGTTTTACAATAGTTTTTATTCAGGGAAAGAAAACCATTGTTAATTCAAAAAAGGAATCACTTCTATGTTGCCTTAGAAACGCGGAACCACATTTTAATTGCAAATCTCCCGCTGCACAATTCCTCGAAAATCCAATATTTTCGCCGGCCTTTACTTGTACGAGGCAGTGTTAGCACGCGATCTCGAGCGAGAAGAGGGAAAAGACTTGCCAAGGTTTCTAGACACGCTCAGTCAACAAACGTGGAACTCGACTTATGAGCACTCACACACACATGGAGACATCTTGCTCCGAGGGAAATTTTAGTCGTTGCGTGAATTGCCAGTGCGATCTTTATTTCTTCTGAGATATAGATCTTATGTTTGGTTCTGTTACGACAATTACATTATCACATCTGTTCTTTCCCCTTCGTGTTTCGTAGATATAGTACAATTAAATCTGTTTAACTACTCAATTCATCCAATTATCCATTTAATTTAGGTTACTTACCCATTCCTCTGTTCACTCTTTCTTTGGAGGTTTGCGTTCACAAGCAGAAATTCAGTTAACAGTAAGAAGCAGAGTGTAGTTAGTTGTACACCGTGCCTTTGTGTTGGTTTATAGTGAATTGCGTGATTAAACACTGTCTCTCACATTTTTTGGCTTAGACGAGTTTGAAACCAAATAAAATACGAACCGTTTTTGTTTTGTTTTTTTTTCGTTTGGAAATGAGAAATAACTATAATAATTTATATGAATTTAAATATAAATAAATTATTTGTCCTGGGGTTATTGTAGTTCATCTTATTTCTTAAACTTTATTGTTGTTATTCTCTTATATATATTAGCTCTCTCCCACGATGGCTCAGAGGCAAGTCTGGTGGCTTATAATATTCTAAATCAGGTTTCGATACCCGCGATGGGCAGAGCATTTTGTAGCTTTGTGTTTAACTGCAAAACAAACAAACGTTTTTAATTTCAATAAAGTCTCTTGTGAAAAAAAAAAAACGTTTTTCACGAGTGAATTTAATTCTCGGTCCTTTCATTTTAGTTTCCCCCCATCCTGTGATTTGTGGCGTCGTATTAATTGCTTTTTTGAATATTTTAATTAGTGGCGCATTTTTAGAGCGCTTAAAGAGACTCGTTCTTTCAGTGCATCAGCATTATTGGATGTATTTTAATTAAATACTGAACAACCTGGATGTGGAAAGAATTAAAAGTTTTAACGCGAAACATTTCTGTGATTCACCGTATGTTCCAGACTTTCACTCATAGCTACGCAAAAATTACCTGTGCTAATTATCCATAATTTTAAATATATAACCTAGAGGGAAGGCGGTTAGTTAACGCCATCCACCATCATTTATTCTTAACCGACACTTCTCTGACCTAGTAGTGGAATTTGACTATCTTTCTTATAACGCACCCAAGACACTAATATGCGGAGAGCATTTTTACGGCTACGGGTCATGAACCATGAACCTTTGGATTTAAAATCCAGCCGCGCCATCACTATACCACACCCACGACTTCCCAACGAGTGTTGTTTCAATATATTTAATAAACACATTAATGTTCATATCTCACATTTTGATCATTATGTGTTGAAAGTTTTCCTAATAATTTAGGAGGAGAAATATAAGGATAATGCTTGAAATACGTTATCCAATACTTCATGTGGTAATCTTATCAAAAACGGAAACATTATTATCATTCAGCTATTAAGACATTGAGTTTTAGACAAGATATTTCACATAGAAAGGATTTTTTAGCCGCTACCCTTTAAACCTGATTCGTTCCATAGTCATGAGCTTGTATTTCCTTTTTATTGTTAAGTGTTTGTAATAAACTCTGATCCGCTAACTGTAATATCACTGCTATTATTAGTACGTTGCTGTTCGAGTGGTACAAATATATCAGAGAATTGTTTGTTTTGAATTTCGCGCAAAGCTACACGAGGTCTATCTGCGCTAGTCGTCCCTAATTTAGCAGTGTAAGACTAGAGGGAAGGCAGCTAGTCATCACCACCCACCGCCAACTCTTGGGCTTCTCATTTACCAACGAATAGTGGAATTGGCCGTCACATTATAACGCCCCCCACGGCTGAAAGGACGGGGATGAGAGAAAACGAGCTGTGGATGAAAGATTAGAATATTTTGGTTATCATTTCGTTTTATCTGTTGACATTTTAAGAACAGTATTTATCTTTTGAAATAAAATTACACTGTATAATTACTGTCTCTTATTTCGTAAAGAAACAGGGATGAGTTGAAGGATTGTATAATATCGAGATATCACAAAATATGTGCTTGATATATATATCTGTTTAGTTTTCAAATCAGTGATTTTATATATTATTATTATTTTTTCTTTTTCAGGTTTCCTCCATAAATCGTGTTTTACGAAACCTGGCTGCTCAAAAGGAGCAACATGTACATGCACAAGATGCTGTCTATGATAAACTGCGCATGCTCAATGGACAAGGGTGGCCTCGACCAAACCCCTGGTACCCAGCGAGTGCTACGTTTGGGGGTATAACCCCCGCTTGTGTCCCTCCTCCAGTCACTGTACCAGGTCTTTCCACCGAGAACGGTCCAATTCAGAAAAAAGGTAACACGTCGATTTATATCCATTAGATTGGAATACACCTTACGACAGTGACTACTTATAATACGAATCCTTACCAGAATACCCCTGAATTACACCTTCCCATCATTATTACTTATATGTAAACTCTACATTCAGGTCATTATATGTTGAATCAGGTTTTAATATTCAGACGATTGTATTAATCAGTACGTTATACTAATCTCATCGTCTTTACTTTAAAACTATGTAGTGAAGAGATTCCATAGTTAATACTTTGTAACAGTCTACATTGAACACGCCGCTACAATCAGGGTTCAACAACTAGTTATTTACAATAACAACACTTAAAAATAAATTCAACACTTACCGAAAGGCAGTTAATAAGTAAGTGATGGGCAGAGCACAGATAGCCCATTGTGTAGCTTTGTGCTTAACTTCAAACAAAAACAATAACAACCCTCTCTTAGTGAAGTTTCTGGCAGGGTATTTATTCACAGAGTAGGTCAAGAGAGTACACCTCATGTGAACATAAATTTACATACTCTTATGCTATATTAATAGTATCTGTACATCATCGCTAGGGAAGCTGGTGTTAGTTTCACCATACACTTGTTTGTTTGTTGTTTGTAATTAAGCACAAAGCTACACAATTGGCTATCTGTGCTCTGACCAACACGGGTATCGAAACCTGGA